CGTGTTGCTATATAATGGTTACAATTAAATTAAATTGTACTCATTGCTATTAAAAGCAATCAAAAGTAAATGGCTTTTATTTTTCCTCTTTTTCTTCCTTTCCTTCATATTTATGCATCAAAAATGAAGCTAATTGTTGACTTGTAATTAACTTGTTAAACAACGTTTAACATCAATTGATTTGTAATTTAAAAGTTAGCAAAAAAATATGTTGATTAGTTGAAGAAACATCGCAATATGAAATTGAAAAATTTCAGCTCAAAACCTTGAACGAAATTCAAGCTAAGATGATAATGATGATGTTACACCTAAAAAGTTAATAGAGTTTATTCATTTGATTGGAAGGTAAAACAAAGTTATTTACACTTAAATTACCTTTTCACAACGGGATATTGTTAACCAAAAAACCTAATCACATTTCCAATTGGTAAAGATTGAAATTTTTTTTCTGGTTCCAATACTTTTCTGGTTCAAGGGTTGGAAAATTTTCAGTTTAATTTCAATTTTTTGATGCACTTTTTTGCTCAACTTGAAGCTGCAAAACTGACCACAATCAACACTTATTATATCAATTAAAACACGAAAATGATTAATCTGTTAACAAGTTGACACTCAAACGGTATCAAGATAATTGCTGTGAATTTTATCTAATTAATGAAACTCATCACGCAAAGGGAAACTTACATGATATTTGGTTTGCAAAATATGGTCAACCTGGTGATGTTATTAAAATTAATGTTTCGTCTGTTAAATTGCAACTAAATGCTCTCAACAACCCAAGGCGATTCAGTTAATCTTCAACGAAAATTCAAATGAGTCAAGAATCGTCCAAGTTTCAAAGAAACTTCAAGAAGATTAAATTTTGATATAACTCGAAACATTTTCATTCTATTTTCATTTTCCAACTGAAATTGCGTTTTCACGACTGAAAGGTGCTGACAGTAATTGATTGAATCACAGACAGAACTCAGAAGGTTCAGATTAAAGGTCAAACTGTGCTCTTCAGTTGTAAAAATAATAAAATAAAATTGAAAGAAACTATTTGCATTCATTGGAATTGAGTGTGATTATTGTCTTGTTGAATTGAAAAGTGAAAACTTTGAGACAGAATGCTTTTGATGAAATCTGATAAAGTTTCATGGATATTAAGATGTTTAAAACTTTGCATAGAAGAAGCATTCTAAGGAATTCCAGAAATATTTTTCATTCTTTTAATAAACTAATGAAAAGCTGAGAAGTCACAGAAATGATCAAACATTAAAGACTGAATACTCAAAGTTTACTGAAATGTCACCAATTGGTTTCATATGTTTCTTTGTTTGATTGTTGATGAAGCAAATGATGTGATGAATTGTTAACGGAAACATGAAAAGTTTATTATTGAGAAAAAAGACAAATTTTGATTCATTCATTTGGTTATTTTGCGTGTTTTTTGGCAACCAGAACGAATGAAAAGTCAAAATGCCAAAGGCACTGCTGTAACTTGCAGGGAACATGATTAAAGTACGGAAAAACTAAAAGTGCATAAATCAATTGATAAGATGCCTTGAAGTGATTTCCAACCTAGAGATTGAAAGAGATGAAGAAAAAGAGAAGAAGAAAAAAGAGATTAAATGATAATGATGATGAAGATGATGATGACGATAAAAACATCAGATAATGTTTATTGGTTTGTTGGTTCATTGATTCGTTTGAAATCAGTGAATCAGGAAAATGGAAGAAAAATTGGAGAACTGAATAAATGTGACTAATTTTTCACAATTCAATTTACAATATTCACCATTTAAATAGCGACAATTATTTACATTTGTTCAGCAATTTCAAATTCTTTGCTCAATGATTTATATCATTTCTTAACCCGTTCCCTTCAGTCAAGCCTAGGAATAATTCAAAAATGATATTAATCCAAACTCGATAGTCAAATAGGAACAGGAATATCAGCATTGAAAGAAAATTTATCTACAGAAACGAGAAAAAAACAAGAATCAGAACTGGTTAGTTTTTACCTTGAATTTGAAGTTTGCCATGAAGTTCCTGTAAACTTGAAGATTACTCATGTTGAACTTTGAGGATAAAAAAAGGGTTTAATTATGATCTTGAGTTGAGAGGAGGACAAAATGTTACATGATGAAAATTGATTGAGTAAAAGATTCATCTGGGAAACAATTAATTAGAATGTTGATTAAAATCTTGAAGAAGCGATGATAATGAACAGCAAAAGATTGTCATCTTAACCCTTTTAACCTTATTTTCAACTTAAATAGTTCTGATGAAAATCGCAACAATTAATTGTTCATCTAATCCAATAAACTGTCTGATCACAATCAAGGTTTTTTTGGCAAAACTTTGTATTAAGTTTGACTTGAAAAGCTTTTCAAATTGTAATCTCAATAAAATTAACCATGAAATTGACCATGAAATTAAACATTTGAACAAAATGTTGTGATTTACATCAATCAATTAATCAATGATAAAACCATTGATTGATTCATCTTTAGAAGCAAATGTTTATTAAAATTTTGAGTTTCTTTCCGTTTTCATTATTCTGATTATTCCAAGTATTCCAAGTGAATAAAAGGATACTTTTTAAAGGTGTGTTCATCGTTAAGGTGGGTAACAATTTTCGAGGTTGAATTTTGAGAAAAAAAGTTAAATTCCATGAAAAGGGTTTCCACCTTGAAAAGCCGATTCCAATGGACTTACCAACCGCCGAGTTAATCTTCAACTTGATGCCAGAAATTTACTCGGCAACAGTAACATTCATGTTAATTGATGAATGATAAATGTTGATTAAGGTGACTTATCACCTTAATCATCATCAACTTCATCTTGATCATGATAGTGTCAAAGAAAATGCATTAACCTAATACAATTAGATGAGTTAAATGTCTTTAATATCCTTAACCTTTAATGGCTAAACATTTATCACAATCAGAATTTTCTAAAAGTTTCAACTTGTTCGTTAACAATTAAACTAATCAGTTATGAAAATCATCTTTTCTACTTTCGCCATCAATTTCCTTTGATTGATTGTTTCATCCTTAATTCAACTAATCAGTTTAATTTACTGCAATTAAACTGCTACATTAACACTTTAACATCGCAAATGAGTTCAAATTTAGCTTCTTTTTTGAAAACCAGAAAATTGAACCTAAACGTAGGTTTTGAAGCTTTTTAATTTTAATCAAATTTCCAGATTGACCAAGTTCATCTCATGTTTATCATGTTTATTTCATGATCACGCCTTGGTCTAACTGATTAGGATTGGCTATTATGATTTGTAAAAGTTAATAACAGGTAAACTAATGCGAATCAACTGGAAACAAAATGTTGATTAAAATGCAATATCCAACAATAATTGTAACCCTTCACAAACCGAACCCAGTAAATGTTGAAAATCACTTTAACCCTTTTCTAATCAACCTTTTTACTTACCTTCTAATTAAAAGTCTATTGTTTAACCTTTAGTTAACCTTTTAAAATTTATCAAAAAATAGTTGATTAAATAATCTAAATTTAAATTACAAATGTTTCAAGTTGAAAAGCCTAAGACTAGACAAGACTCAACATTACCAACAAATGTTTGCAGCAAACTTGAATCTATTTCAATTATGATTAACATTGTGATTAACATTGTGATTAACCCTGTTAATTAATTTAATTTCCTTTCTCATGAATCTTTCATTTAATCTTACTCAACTGTCAAGGTTAGTTAACCCATAATTTAGATTGAAATTAAGCTCAAGACTAAACCGATTGACAATTTGTAACAACTTTTCAGCTGCCGACTGACCATCATTTATCCTTATTATCATTTTTCAATTATAATTATCATTATTAATGAAATTTTTTGCTTTTTCTTTCTCCATCTGACAAACTTTTCCCTCCAAACGGTTCGGTTTACAGGGAACCCTTAAAATGGGCTGTTAAAGGGTTGAAAAATTATCATTTTTTATATGTTTTCATTGTTTCCTGTTTAGCTTCAGATTGGGCTAAAAATGATCACCTGACAGAGCAAAAGCCTCAGGCTAATGACAATAAATCCGATGTTATTTAAGCAACAAATCATATCATCGTTTGTAAAGGTACAAGCTTGAGAAGTGAAACGACATCAACAACATACAATTAAAATGGTTTGCTTGAAGAAACAGAGAAATGTCTAAATTGTTGTTCAACCCAAGAGTTGAATTAACTAGTAAAATCTCACAGATTTAATGTAAATTGTGCTTTTATTATCAAACTTTCACAGAATTGTCGATTGTTGAATTGAAACAAATTTGTGTTAAATGACCAAATCAAAAGTCCAGTTATTTGAACTCTTTTTTTTCTCAATCATTAGTTGATTCAATGAGCAAAAAAACTAGTTAATCTAATTTGTTTGATTCAGCTTCACATGAATAATTGTCATTTCACCATTTTGCAATTTTCATTATTTTAATATCCTTAGGCTGAGCCTGGATTTTATTACAAATAATTTAATTTTTAATAATTGCTCAACTTTAATTGAACGCCAGTTCAATGGACAGTCGAGAGAAGAAGCAAATTCAACAGATATTGAGTTTTCATGTTTCACCGAAACTGATGGACATTTGATTCATTTGATTTGAGACATTTGATAGCAATTCTTACAACTTAGTTAGTTGTTAGTCAAACCAATCAATAACAATTTGCATTGTAAATTTTTCGATATTAATTTTTTCAAGAAAATTTGTTTTCTAATTGTTTCCTTTCCTTCATAGACAAAATGCAATTAAACTCTGAATCCATCAACAATACTAATTGACTTTGTAATTAAAAATGAAAAATGTGTTTTTCTGAATCTATTATTTGAACACTGGAAGTGTCTCTACCAGAAATGATAAAATTGAAAGCAACAGTAAATCCCAATCAATCCCAAAAGCAAATCAATCCAACCCAATGCAACCCATTCACCAAGAAATACCAAAGACTTGAAACTGATTGAATTAACTAATTGTTTCTCATTTCTTACATTTCAACAGGTTTCTCTTTTTCATGACCATGTTAATGGATTAACATTATAACATAATAAACATATAATAATCGTTATTGAAAACGAAATTGTGCTAATTAAGCTACACCAATTGTTATTAATATATCATTACCACTCAATTGCTACAAGATAAACATCATTGGAAAGAGGTAAAAACAACAAACAAGAAACGGCGTTTTTTTGTTTTCTTCAATTAACTTGCCTCTCCTAATCATCATCAACTACATCATTACACATTACATCTTCATCTAAACTCTTCATCATAATCATCATCATCACCATCATAATAATCATCCAGTAAAAGTTAACAACCAAAACAATCATCAAGGAAACACCAAAACGCAAGCAAAAAGAAACTCCAAGAACAATAATAATTATAATTTGGGAAACCAAGTTAACATTAAAATTAACAGAAGAGCAGAAAAGCCAGAAACAAAAAATTAACCCGAAAGTTTAAGTAAATCAAATGATGGCTTATCAAAATGATAATTATTTTAGGTGTCAAGTAATGAGAAATGATTGGATCGGTAAAACAATTAGTAAATTATCATCACCTGAATGTTACAGTCAACAGTCAATGATTAAAGTTTACAATGAAATGGTTTCTCTTGTGTTCAACCCTGCTAACCCGATGAAAAGCAACAATTACCCAAAAAACCAGATAAACACTTCAAAGTCAAATTCATTAACATGGTTCATTTTGTCTGGTATAATCAGATAATCCATTTTGTTAAACAAAAATTAAATCCATTGGCTGGTTCAACGGTCATCCAAAAGTGTTGTCGCTTCTAGTCGATAACAATCATCGATTGATTTACATTAATTCTGACCGTCGCAAGACTCTAAATTGAAAGACTTTAAATTATTTCACTAAATTAGTTTATCATTGGTTTGTGTTTGTTGCTGTCAACTGGAACTTTAATAGCAAAACAATCAACTTTAATTTTGTTTTCTTCAAATCAAATTTTTTGGTAAACTCTAAACCTTCATCTGCAAGTTTCAATCAAAACAATCATTTTTTATCTCTCCTCGAGATCCATTAATGTGGCTTAATGGTTTAACTGTCATATTCATTAAACAATTATATGTGCCATTTGTTAATTGTTTTGGTTTAACCTTAAAAATCGTTCAACTCTTCGTAGTGTCCATGGACTATCAAATAGTCCCTAAACAGGATCAAGTGAAATTGGATTAATCATTTCCAGTTAACTGAGACTTTCTTTTTTCTGTCCTTTTTGTTTTAAACAACTTCTAGCACCCTAATTACAAGTTTAGTATTATCATCAAAATTGATCAAATCATCGTGTGCTGAAGTAAAATACTTAATGATCTCTAACTGTTCCTTGTAAAGGAATCAATTGCAATTGAAATCCACCAGCAATCGAGAAATTGTCATTTCTCTCAGCAATCGGAAAAGAAGCACAACTTCAACAGATTGAATTATCACTCAAAGTGATCTTTTCTTTTTGTTACAAAATTTCAATAAGTTTCTCATTTAATACATTATTTTTTTCTCCTTTGGTTAATAGTGAAATTTACTAAACCAATTCACTGGATTGTGAAGTGAATGATTGTCTCATCAGTCGATGAACAACTCAACCAATCAACCCAAAATTATTGCACACCATTAATACTCACAATTGAAACAGAAAGCATTTCTGTAAACAAATAAAGAGAAACTTGGTTTTTCGAGTTATCAAGTAAATTAAACTCGAAAAATAGTCATCAACATCATCAAGTCATCATCATTTGGCTTCATCAGCCATCATTATCCTCATTAACGGCAAATTAACAAATATTGTCAATTTCAGCTCTTTCAATAGTCTCTTCATCAACATTAGAAAAGCGAACAAAGTTTGATTTCATTTGCCCAAGGCAAAGTAAAAAAAGTATATAAAAATAATATCAGACTTGAAGAGACTTTAATTACTGATTCGAGTCAACTAAATAAAATTAGACAAAAAGCAAGGTAAAGAAGAATAAAGGAAATAATAATCAAAACAACAATCAAGAGAATAAAATTTAACGGTTGAAGAAAAGTTAATTTTTTGGAAAATTGTCATTTTGTTATTAAATAGCAATTGATAGTGAAAAAAGCATTATTAGACTGTTGAGTTGTAAACTTAATTTAAGTCACTTTGGGTCGCCCAGCGACGATAAACAAGCTTGTTATCAATTGTTATTTGTTGGTAAAGAATGCAGAACGGAGCTTTTCCTTGGGTCGGATCTTCGACACTTGGACCAGGACAAAAGTGGCCTGGCTACCAGGCCAGTATTACTGATCTTTTTTTAAAGAAAAGCGCACCTTCTCTTGCCCATCATCACCCATTTCCCTCTGGAATCTCTCAATTGGCTGCCGCGTCATCTTATCTTGAAAAGATGACTGGATTCGCACAAGGCGGAGGAAATGGATCACTAACATCATCTTCATCATCATCTTCACTGCTCGGAGGATCTGGTGCTCCTAATAATTCCAACTCAAATTCCAATAATACTTCAAGTGGAGCTCTTTTGGCATCGGTTGGTCAACACCATTCACATCATTCTCTTCATTCCCATCACCAGTCGAGTCAGAGCAACAGTAATAATACAAATAATAATAGTAGTAATAACAATAATAGCCATGGTCATCAAGCGTCATCTTCAAATCACAATCACCATCAGCATCAAAATCAGCATACAACTTCAGGTGCCAGTTCATCTTCAACACCCAGTCCATTAAGTTTTCACAAATGTCCACATCAGCTTCAAGGTGATTCTGGTAAGGAACCTTGTGGTTTATGTTCAAGTTCAAATATTAACTCTAACACAAATAATAATGGTGCAAACGGTGGAAATGGTAACAATAGTAATAATAATAGTAACCGTATTAATAGCAATTTAAACAGTTGCAGTCCGAGTAATAATAGTAGCAACAGTAACAGCAGTAATAATGATAAAAATCCAAATGGTAAAGATAATTCAGATAATTTAAACGCCAATTGCTCAAATAGACTTTCAAATGAAACGTCATCCCCCTCTGGGCCAAATTACAAGTGCACTCATGTTGATAATCAAAAGAAAGGTAATTCATGTAATATGTGCCAGCCATATACATCAATTTGCGGAGGTGATAGTACTTCCAATTCTGGTTTAAATCTTGAAAGTTTAAAGAATGTAACCGATGCCATATCAACTGTGACAGTAGCAGCAGCAGCTGTTAATTGCTCAACCAATAATAGTAACAATAATAATAGTAATAACAATAGTGGAGGTGGTAATGGTACTAATAGTAATGGTAATGCAACTGGTGGTGTTGCGGGTCCAGTCCGAGGTTCAAGTGAAGCTTTACTTGCAGTCGCCTCATCATCGGCAACAGCCGCCGCTGCAGCGGCTGCTGCTGCTGCTGCGGCAGTCATGTTAGATTCAAAGGGCACTCATCACCATGCACATCACCATCACTCGGCACATGGATCAACACACAATCCCCACCACCACCATAATCCCCATCACCACCATCACCACCATTCTGCTCACCAATTACATCACCATCATATTAATACAACAGGATCATCAAATTCTCCTGCTTCTTCTTCTTCAGCAGCTCTGGCTGCGTCCGGCCATTCCTTAGGTCATCATCACCATTCGTCACCTTTTACCAGTACAAGTTTGTCCTCACTTATACCACATTCCAATGGTCCACCAAGCCTTTATACGCGTCGATATTCAACTGGATCAACAAGCTCATCTGGCGATCACCGATCCAAACATGGTGGTAGTTCAAATAGTGGACGTACATTCCTTTGTCCAGTTTGTTATCGTTGTTTCACTCAAAAGGGTAACCTGAAAACACACATGATGATACATACTGGTGAAAAACCTTTTGGTTGTCAGGTAAACAAGTATTATCGATTGTATTCGATTGTTTTAATCGATCTCTTCTATGCTTAACATAAAAGACAAAAAATCTCCTTTGGAGTAGATTGCATTATTATTTAATCTTTTTTAATCTAATTTTTTATCTCTTTTTTACAGATTTGTGGAAAAAGTTTCACCCAGAAAGGGAATGTTGATACACACATGAAAATACACACGGGAGAGCGAGACTATCGTTGTCAATCTTGTGGTAAAGGATTTACCCAGAAAGGTAACCTTAAGACTCATGTTCGCTCTGTCCATACCAAAGAAAAGCCCTATGTTTGTGGTATTTGTGGTAAAGGATTTAGCCAGAAGGGTAATATGCATACCCACCTGAGAACGCATAGTAAAGACAATCGATTCCCATGTCCACTTTGTGGTAAAACATTCTCTCAAAAGGTAAGAATATATTACATTTATGCTTAATATTTTGGTTTGCTAAAAATAATTAACCAAGTACACTTAATTCCAGTCTAATGCATGCTTGAAATACTGGGTTTAATATAAAAGTCAGGCAAAAATTGCATAAATCAAATAAATTCATAAATTTCAGTCATTACATACTTTTTGATACAAACCAGTTTCTAAATGTCAGATGAAATCAGCTTTTAGCTCTATGCAACAGCAGAACCCCAAAGAATGGCCAAGCAAATGTATAATCATTTTGCATTAATTATATGCATTGATATTCCATTTATTTGTTTATCATCAAACATCACTTAACCTCCAACAGTATGCAAACAATTGAAAAATGCATCAATAATTCACTTTTTCATTGAATCAAAAGAAGCTAATCCATTGCTTTTTGTTTATTTTACTCTTATACAGGGTAACCTGAAGACTCACATGCAGAGGCACAATGGAATAGCTCCTGTTAGACGTAATCCAAGCAAGAAAAGTTCAAAATCGGGAAACCACCAGAATGCGACTGGATCCAGTTCTGGAAATAGTGCCAATACCGCCAGCAGCAACAACCACAATAATCAGGTAAATCGAAGTTCAAATAATCAGTATTTTAATAATACTGAAAAAAATGGTTCCGTTGATCGTAAGCCTTTTAGCTCATCAGGTAGCAGTGGACACAATGAAGGAACACCAATCAATGGTTCATCAGCAGCCGCGATCTCTACAATCTTACCTATGGTCCTCGCAACTTCACGAAGCTCATTGTTACCCAGTACCACGACTCAACATCCATCCCAGCAGCAACCCCATGGTTCAGGCAATGGACAATCTCAAGGAATCCAACCGATGGACTTCTTCTGGCCAGCAGGGGTGACAACGTGTTAGCTGATAGTTAATAAATTGATTATCATCATAGGATCCAATTCTGACGAGAAAAAGCGATTTGGAAAAACCTGAACAAGACTTCCAACAGACGCTTAAATTCAATTGACAAGGCAAGACAATATTGAAAGCCATACTCGAAAACAATTTTACAATTTATTGTATTAGAGAGATACTCAATCATCAATACATCCATGCATTTTATCGTCATTGTCATCATGTTAATGTGCTATTACCTTTTATCATTACATTTCTAATGATATACCCATTACTATTATTATTAATATTAATATTAATGCTACTACAACTATCATCTTATATCACAGGAAAAAGTACACACTCAATTGAAACCACAACAACTGTCATAATTATTACTGTAATTATATTTATTCATTACTCGAGAGCTCACACATTCAAATTTACAAAAAAAAGACAAAACTTGACAAAAACAGTAACACAGATTCAAGCGAAACAAAAGCTAAACAATTGATTGTGTATGTTGATATATAAATGCGTCTCCAATCATTTCTTTTTTCTTCTCTCCTCAGCCTTGACTTCGTAAATTTACAATTTAATCATAATTAATTAATTATGATACTTACTACAACATTAATGTTTCAATTGCTCGAAATGCAACAAAAACAAAAAAACAAAATTGATTTCAAATTTATTTTGTTCCCTCACCCTATAAAACCCTTTTTTCAATGGTTCAAAACCTTTTTTTGTCTTCATCTATTGCTCATTGTAAGTCAAAACATTTTTTTTCTGATCAAATTTCTGTGAATTTTCATGTCTTTTATTTCCCTCTCTTTCCTCTGTCTCTGTTTCTCCCTCTCTTTATCTTGGATAAAATAAAAAACCAACTTTTTCAGTAAAAATAACCATCCATGTCTCTATTAAACAATCAATAATAAAAATAACCAGAAGCCGAATGATTATTGAACCAATCTAAGCTTTGCCATACTCAATGCTTTAAATTCAAGGTTAATATGCAAAAATTAACGCTAATCAGTCAGATTAATGTGTCTCAGTTAGTTGAACATAAAATTTATACTCTTCTTTGTAGCTCATTTATAACTCATCCTTATCATCATCATTACAAGCATCATCTTGAAACACTCAACCAACGCTTTTTTATTGAAAAACCGAAAACTCTGTAACTCTTTTTTTGTCACTAATTCAACTCTAAACTTTTAGTGAAGGTTTTAATGATATTTGAAAATGATAACTTTGTAATAGTTTTTTATGCACATTATTGGAGATTCAATTTATGATGTTAATAGTGAGTATTGAAAATGAGCAAAATAATTTACTGAAAATGCTGAAAAGACCTTCAACTTGCATCATTGTCACCTTACTTCTTCACTTTACTGATCACTTTTTTACCTCATTTTGCTATACACCTCTAATGTTAACATTGTCCTTGTCAATGTTGCTCACTTCAAATCATAATTGCAAGAAGATTTTTTTTTGTAAATTACATTTTCACCCTTAGAATAGGAGATTTTTCATGCTATTCATATTTGTAACTCCTTTTGGCCCGTTCTATGGACTGTTGGACACAAATGTAAGCACCAACCTTGAGCGGTAATTTAGTGTGCAATTGAAACATTAACAACCATTGAGTAAAGCTTGAGAAAAGATGAAAAAAATGCCAAGAATATTCCTGTTTCCTTAATCTTCCAAGACAAGTTTACAATTTGATTCCAATGGCAAATGATTCCAATAATTTAAACCCTTCAATGACAATGGTGAAAATTAAGAGCAAACAATTGAGAAAATTCATCCAATTTTGTTACATTGTATCAAAATCTGTGAGATCAAAGGCATTATTTTCCTCTATAAGCACATTAAAAATTCACCCAGCCATTTGAGCAAATCGTTATTACCAGTGTAAATTGTCGCCATTCTTTTCACATTACCATCATTAACATTTCCTCAGTTATCATTATTAACACCATCATCATTGTAATGAACCAATTGTTACCAGAATGCTATTGGAATATTGTTTCAACTTTTGCCAATCCCTTTTCCTTGAGGCTTCTGAGATTTGGTCACTTTGAAGTGTTAAAATCAACGTCAAATTCATAGGATTAATCAACCAGCCAAGAAGCATCTTAATCACCATACATCAATAACTTTTTTGGGTCCACTTGATCTGACTAGAGCAGGTATTAGGGACAAGTAGAGCCAGAACTAATCCAAACTAATTATGGTTCCTATTACACCAGAAACAGGGAAAAAAGCTGATTGGATTGGCAGCTCAGCAACAAGCACCGAAAAAACTAAATACATTAAAATGTAATTAAATGTAACATGTAACAGCATGTTGAAAAAGTCAATTTACAGATTGGTTTCACAGTTAGCAGACGTTTAATTAACGGATGAATATCAATAAATCAATGGGAAGGCTTAAGACGCAAAAGCAAAAACAAAAGCGCAATATTCAAAACAGAAACCGTTTTTTTCAAGATTCACCAAAAAAGTGCCTCATCGATGAAATAAATTAATGATTTTGGTCACAAAAAAATTGATTAATTTGATATGATTGATACTTTCAGGTAAAACAATGTTAAACATTGTAAACATGTTATCAGAACAAAGTGATCAATGATCATCAATGAAGCCAGTGTTGAGTGAATGTTCAACCTTAAGGTTATCAAAGGGTAAGATGATTCTGTTAGGTTTTACCTTGAGGCCTTTTTTTGGCTGCTTCTGCTGGTGTTCATTGATTCTGGTTATTCTGAGCTCTTTTCATTTTACAATCAGGTAAAATACAAATTGATTATAAGATACTGTTTGTCCATGTTGATCGCTGCTTCATATCTCAGACATCATCTTGAAGTTTGATCAAGATTATTGCTTCAAGTTGAAAATCTGATTACCTTTGTAATATTTCCAATCAATCTGGTTCTAATACAGTAACACTAATAATAATCAATGTAATAATAATATAAATTTTCTGGCTTAAGGCTAACCATTCAGTAACTGGTCAGAAAACATTTGGTAACAATCTTAATATTATCTGGATAAAAATTTTTTCATCTTGATATAGTTTGCTGATGATGATGGTGATCAAGAAACAAGACCTTGAGGTGATTAAAATTATCATTAAAACTGCGACCATTTTCATGATGAAGCCAAAAGTAAATATTGAATACACTTTGTCAACCCACAGATAATAAAAGGGTTTGATTGTAACTCATTATCAACTTGATTATCATTTTATTTCAACATTTAAAGGTGATTCTAAAGCAACATTATATATCATAATTTACGTCTATTAATAGTAAGGTCTGGTTAGATTAATGGTTATTTCATTAGTTTTATCAGTTATTTCAACGTTTATTTTCATTTTTCTTGAAAATATCTTTCCATCAAACATTGCCAACATCTGTAATTACCTTATCTTTGCACATTTTCAATCTAAAATGTCTTTAATCACAGTCCTGGAAATTAATTAGTATGAGAGTGCAAGAAAACCAGAATTATTTTATTCCCTGGTTTGTGTTGATAGGAAATTCTGGCGCTTTTGATGTTTAAAACCAAACATGAACCAACTGAGCAAAAATTAAACAAATTGAAATCTTTGCTTGAACCGTATTTGCTTAAGTCCTCCTCTAAGGGACCATTGAAAAATCAGGTACACTTTCTGGTAGGTGCAGTTTCTGGAGGGTGATTGTAATTATTAATTGTAAATATAATCATCCAAAATAATAAATGTATTTATGCCACAAATATTCAAGTTTACTTTACTCTTTGATAAAATTTGTAACATTGTACATAATTAGTCAATCACCCCTCGTTCACCCCTTTTTTTATTTACTTTTTCCCTCCAATCCTCCTTTCCTCACTTAAAGCATAAAATCCTTACAAATTTAATTTTATGATTTATTTTCATTTACATCGATGTCCATTGGAAACCTTTAGGGTTAATCAATATTGCTTAATTTCTAGTGAATCTAGCGTTTATCATATTCTATCTGATCCAAACTAAGATGGCGATCAAGTTAATCACCTCGACTTACCCTTCATCATTTGGAGTTCATCAACATATTAAACAACATCTCCTCTTGCCTTTGGTTAACCTGTTTGAGCTGGTATCAGTATTGCATTCTGTTAACTATCCTGTCGACATTGACTTGAAAATCTGGTAAAGAACCCATTCGATTAAAGCAATGATGAATAGCTCAATGAAAAACTTCTAAACTACACCATGAAATATTGCCTTTGTTGGAACACCTTTTCGATGGCAACTATTTAATCTGTAAAATCTGCTAAACGTTTGATAACATGGAACTGCAAAGTGAAGGTTTTTAAAAAGTGGTCCATTTGGATGAAAAAAGATAAGGTAATTTAAAAAATTGGTTTTATGTTGATCTTTATTAATTATTTAATGTTAATTGATTAGGAATGATTTGTACAAAATTAGTACTCTTTTGGATCTTGGTAGAAATGGACTCATTCATCTTGGAAAATTGGATGAAATCTCAAAGTCGGAGTATTGATCGAACCTAACGATGGAAGATGTGATACATAAAATCTGATCAAACCCTTGATCTGGTATGATCATTGTGACTTGCTCGTGGTTCTTTCATTGGTCAACATGGTCTCATTGAGATCAATCTCGTTCTCAATCTGATTTCCATGACAATAGATACTTTTAATCTACCACCATCTTAAGATTTTTTACTGTTTCCCTTTTCATCGGATACAAATTGCCTCGCAATCTTAATATTATGAATGTTGAAGTTTAACCCGTCACAACTACACGAGCAGTCATCGTGGCTCCATCTAAATTTCTGGTTTGATCCTCCAAATCATTTTGTGCTCTTACGGACGATTTATTCATCTGGTATCTTTATGGGATTGAAACTATTAATGCTAATGATTCATTTGTTAATCCCATGATTATTTCTTGAAATTAAATGAAATTGAAATGTGAAATGTGAAATCCCTTGAAATGTTATAGGAGTCTATGAACACACATGAATATTTTTTCATGAAAAGATTCAATTTTTTAATTGGATGATGAAAAGAGGTTGAACAAGAAAAAACGAAACTGCAAAAGTAATTGAGAAACGAAATCAATGGAATCACAAGTCATTCATCACAATTATATCGATTACAACCTAAGTTGATATTAATCGTTGGAAATTAGCTTACCTTGGGACATGATTTAGAAGCAAACAAATTAAATTCAAAAATAGTAGCAAAAATCAGGAAACCAAATAATACTAGTTAAATATCAATGATAAAATTTCGAGTTTCAACGTAAGGGCCACAAAAAAAGGTTAAATCGGCAAAAAATAAATGAATATTTGGTTACGGGATTGAACAGTTTCGTTGCCATTTGAATACGATTATCATTTGATTAGCATTTATTTCCAAATTAAACCTTTCCGTGTCTCAAATTGACAATTTAACATTGAACTTTATATTGATTTCATTTTTAATTTGGATCAATATGCTGAAATTGTTTGGACAGATATATTAATAAAATGGATTGAAATGAAAGGTACAAGGGATGTGACTATGAAAAAAAGTTCAACTCCAGATGAGATGAACAAGAAAAATGAATTTTGAAAAAACGATTCATTCATTCATAGATCAATAGTTTAAATCTAATCCTGATTAGGCTCATTTAAAGTGAAGCTTTCACTGTGAAGGTGAGTAAATATGTGTATTAAATTGTCTCTAATTGACCTGTGATTAGTTTATCAAGTATATTGACACCATGAAGTCTTATAAAATGCTGAATACACACAACGAACACTAAATTGGCAGAATTAGTCCAATTTAAAAATGAAAACCTTGAATTGATAATATGTTTCGATAATATGTATTTATCTTATGATAAAGTTTTTTTTCTGAGAATTTTCTTCGGTAACAAAATCAGTGTGAAACAAAGTCAATGAGTGCTAATTGATAAATCTATCAATCTGAGTCTCACACATTTTCACTTTAAACATGAAAAGATTAAAACTTAGTTAATCTTGTCAACACCTTCGCTTGGTCTTACTAGAACGGCTTAACGCCCTTTTCAATGCTATAAATAAATTGTTCAAATAAAATTTACTTCACACAATTTTTCAATTTCAGATCAACCTCTTAGGTGTAAATTGAATATTGAAATCACCTTTTCCAACCTAAATCTAACCCATTAACAATGAAGTCAAAAATCAATCTCAAATTTTCTGTTTTTCTTTGTTTTCTTTACTTAATTGACTCAATTCTTTGTGCTAAATTCAAATGCCCTAAAAAAGGTAAAGTCGGTGGATTAAAAGTTCCAAATGTTCTCAGTTTGATTGATAAACAAACAGGTTATCATGCTTCTGTTGAAGTTATTAATCCAACTCGAAACAACTTGGTCCATGATTATTATGATGGGGAAAACAATGTTGCATTTATTGACTTGGAAGCAAAGATTCAAGATAAAATGAATCGACGTTATTATTATCATTCAACAGAGGAGAAGATTGCTGTTCAAAAATATACATGTGATAGGTTGGACTTAACTAAGGACGAGAAAATTAAATCGATCAAAGAGTGGTTTGAACCAAAAGATATTGTCGCAAGTTCAGATATCTTCAAAGATTTGGCTCATTTAGGACCAACAGTGTTGATGATTTATGCCAACAACATTAGTGATAAAGCTTCATTCGTAGGATCTGAACTGATTGAAGGTCGTACGGTTAATCATTGGTTTTATTGTGCCACTCGTGCTGGACCTTACATTGACTTTTACTTTGATGTTAAGACCTCATTGCCTTATCGGTTCTTGTTGTATTATCCTGAATGGATTGAAATTCAAGAGGTTATTTCAATAAATGAAACTCGAAAAGTTAAAAAGCAAGTCGATTCAGAGTCAAAATATGTTTACAACTTTTTCATGTTCAAACCCCTGGTCATATCAGCAGCTGATCCCATTCCTTATCCATTGAGTTATGGATGTGAGCGTAAAAATACACAACCATCTACTCCATTACCAGATTTCAGTAAAGTTGAAGAGTTTATTATGGATATGGAAGCATTAATCACCTATCCTGATCGTGAGCTCATCAAATCAACTGCTCGAGTAATGAAACGAGGTGATCTTATTTCATACAAAATCCAAGAAGGAACTAAATTTGTTCGTTCCATTGAAATGCCTCCTCCTTTAGGACGATTTCAAGTCGATGAACACACTGGTCAATGCAATTATTATACATCACATCATTCTGATGATGTTACACTCATCTCCAGTTGGCCTCTTGCACACCTTGGCTTCAATCTATTTTACTATCTGCTGATGAAACCACCTCAAGATCATGCACCAACTTTTATTGGTGATATACCTTTAGGACCTTTTCGAGTGGAAGAATACAAAGCACATAAATTCCTCTCTGCTAGATATGCCATTGTTGATTATTATTATACAAAGAATGTCAGTGATTATGTTCCAAGTAAAGTTATATTTACCATAGAGCGAATGGATCGCAATATTTACGATGATATTTATCCAAAACAAGTTGAAGTAACCATAATTAATTATCAAACTAGGTTCATTGACTATGAAGATCGATTCGATGTTTCTGGTTGTTATGAAGAACCTGGAAGCTATACTTGGTTTCAACTTCTCTTTCCGAATCCTGAGCTGAGTAACTTCAAGACGGAATTTATCAAGGAAAAAGTGGAAGAATACTTGGCTTCATTCATTCCAATAACTCGTATTGGTGAGATTCATGCACGACAAGTTGATCCTAATGTATATGTTACTGTTAAGCTTTATGATCGAGTACATTTCATTGATGTTTATAATCGTTTGGATGGATATAAAATTATTAATCCTTCAAATGTTGTAAAAAGATTTAAAGTCGAGGACTGTGAACAACTGTGCAGCGCCAATTCAAACTGTAAAACCTTTAGTCATTGTGACGATTATGACTGTTCAATTTATGACGGTCATTTAGTAGAGAGTAAGTTCAAGGCAGGATGCTCGGTTTATACTAGACCTACAACGCAGGCTACTCCATTCGTTAGTGGAAATTATTTGTCACCAATACCACAAATATTACAACAGATAAGGAATAAAGTCGCTGGAGGCGAAATTCGTTTACGTGTTGTTGACATAACAGCTGAAGGTTTGTTCATTGTGAGTGGACCTGAAGAGATTGGTGATATTTTTCAGGAACTACATTCAAGTGTTTCCAGACCTTTAAGAGGTGAAGATTTCCCGATGATCCAAACTGATCGCCATTTCAATGAAGCCCAATTCAAGATCGAGAAAAGTACTCTTCAAGATTGTTTCATGGCTTGTTTGAATGATGATGATTGTAATACACTTTCATATTGTGTTGCTCATGATAAGGAATGCATTCTGAGTGGAGAAACATCGAGTTCATTACAAGATCTACTTGAGAACAAAACAAGCCATGCAGATGGATGTAACATCTATCAACGTAAATCTATTGTCACATTAATTTGTATTTCGTATATTAATTTTGTTCTTCAATTTCAATCTAGAATCACTTATAAATCTGTTCCATGAGTATCCTGGTAAAAGTCTAGTTTTGGATGCTGTCTCAACCATATCTGATGTACCAATTGGTGATTGTGCTAAAAGATGTGCTCAATCAAGTGATTTCAATTGTGAATCATTTGATTATTGCCAAGATAATTATCAAAGGTAAGTCAAAACATTTTATTTCCATAGAAAAGATTTCTTTTTCGGCATTTTGCTGAAATCTCAAACTCATCAGTAGTTTTGAACGATTTTTGATTATTCATTATTTCGATTTTTTAGATTTTTTTGTGTTATCTATCAATAGCTCTAATGAAATTTCATTTTTCAATTCCCTCCAGAAATGAATCTGTTTGCTTCTTACATGTTAACCAAATTGAGTTAGACAAAACTCATCAAATAAATGCGACAAACTGGAAGGTGGCTGAAGCTGGATGTTCCCATTATTCAAGTAAAAACCTTTACTTTAACCTAACACTTAAAATTTGGTTAATATTTACTAATTATTCAATCTTTTTATTTTAACAGAAAAATCTGAACTTGATTATGAGCATAAAGTTGGACTTGCACTGAAAGATAATGTGAAAGAGTCAATTGTTGGAACCTTTGACCATTTATCACTTGAACACTGTGCTTCCAAATGCAATTCAGATCCTAATTGTTTTACTCTCGAGTTTTGTGAAACAATTGATTATAATCAAATTTCCGATATAAGTGTTCCATCGACGAGTTGTTCATTGACAAACTTGAAACCGAAAAATGTTAATCAACCTGGACTATTTGAAGGGTCAAAAAGCACCAACAAAATTTGCTCAATTTACATAAATCACAAGAAAATTACAGTAAAAAGTAAAACTGATTCACAGCCATCTGAATTAATTATATCATCACCAAAGAAATCAAGTAATTTGAATTCAGCAATCGGATTGGGGTCAATAGTATTCATATTGGCATTTGCTGGTGGATTCATTGGTTTTAAATTTGCTGCTAAAAAAGGAGTCATTTCATAGACTAACTTATTGACAACCAAAGAACTACATTACCGGAGGAAAACTGAAGATTAATGTTTAAGATTCATTCAATCTTAAGCAGCATGATGCACCTATGGAACATATTTATTATATTTATCATAAAATAATAATTTACCAATACAATGTAATGCAGCTCTTCATCATACTCCAAACTCCAAAACTCTTACCTCAATGCTTCCAAAAGCTCTGATGATTCTGGTTTTGTTTATAGCATTGAAAAAATCCTAAAACTTTTATTTAACAAGAATAAAATAATACATAAATTTAATCCACCGCTGATAAAGATTTTCACTGTTTCCCGTTTCATTGGATGCAAATTTTCTCGCAATCTTAATATGAATGTTGAAGTTTAATCCATCAGAACTACCCGAGCAGTCATCTTGGCTCCATCTAAATTTCTGGTTTGATCCTCCAAATCAATTCATTCAGCTGATGTCTTTATGGGATTGAAACAATTCATTTGTTATTCTCTTATTTATTTCCATGAACCATCACAATGATTTTCTCGAAATATTGGCTATCAATAACAAGTATAAACTAACGTTTTCCAGCAAAAACTGAAATAAATGGAATGGAATCGCTTTGAGAAACAAAAAGACAACTTGAAATGTTATTGGAATCTACGAAGACTCACCACTATGCTATGATATCCATCCAAGCGAAATAAATTGCCGACATAAAATCCAATCCGATCGGTTGACATACGTTCCAAAGTTCTCGTCACCTAAACAAAATTTACTCAAAAGAATATTTTTTTAGTTTTTACTTTAAATATTATTCATCTTACTTTCAACATGATCCGCAAATCAAAACGAGTCGAGATTAATAGTCTATGAATTGATTTTCTAAATGTTTCAATCTAATGACATGAAGCAGGAATAAGAAAAAAAATAATATTGAGTTTCATAAATGCGAAATTAATGTTACTCCAAATTGTCTTAGATTTAAAATATCCAACAATAATGAATATTCAATCTATTAGTATCAATCAATATTTTTTTTCATGACAAGATGCAATTTTGTCAATGCGATGATGAAAAGATTGGCTGAACAAGAAAAAACGAATAATTGAGAAACGAAATCACTGAAATCACAAGAAATTTACCACAATTATATCGATTACAACCTAAGTTGATATCAAGTTTAAATCAGCCTACCTTGTGACATGATTTAGAGGCAAACAAATTATATTCAATAATAGTAGCGAAAATCAGGAATCCAAGCAATGCGAGTAAAATATCAATGAGAAAATTTCGAGTTCCAATGTAAGTGCCACAAAAAAAGGTTAAATCGGCAAAAAAGGAACCCACAAAAAAAGAAATGAATATTGGTAAAGCAAAGTTGTTGTTCATCATTGAGATTGTATTGTAATGTGCGTTTTGCAAGTAAATCAATTTTTCCAATGAAACGGAATAAGGTTTAGGCTTTAAAAGATGTAAAACTCGGACAATGGCGGAATTGGTTGATTGAATGGACAGAGAAATGATAATGATAATGTGTATGAAAAACCAGTAACAAGCATAACCAGAGAAAAACATTGTAACATCAATGAAAGGTAACCAAAGGAATTGAAGGAAAGCCGTTCTCAATGAAAAACAAGGATTGAGCAAAATGGACTGAATTTGCAGGATAAATATTGATCCACATGAAAGATTAATGAAAAGGTTTAAACTGAGACCAGCTAGACAGGTTATACGACGAAAGTTCATGTCATCTTCATCAGTTAAACCGTGATGGACTGGGTTGAACCAAGTCTCTCTGAGATTGTAAAAAACTGTCATTATTTGCATTTGATGTTGAGATTCGGAATAAGCCAAGGAAGTTTTAACACTGGTTAATAGGAAAGAAGCACCAAAAAAGATTACATTGAGCAGTGAATGAGCTTGATAGCCGATAAAAGTGTCGCCCAAAATGATGCGCATTTTCTCGTCTCTTAGAAAGGCCAAAAGGAGAAATCGAAATGATATCAAATAACACCAAAAACAGAGCAACAGGTTTAATACAACTTGATAAGTGGTTGATGCAGTAACCTGTGAATAGCCATGTGAACAAATCATTGTTGCTTTACCCATTTTTTCAAGTCTATTAAACAGTTTAACCAGTTGATTTGGAGCTGACCAATTATCAATTAGTCTGATCATGCTGGTTGAATATGATACTTGACCAGTGTTTTGAACAAGTCTTTGATTTACACATTGAGAGTATCTTCTGTATAATGATTTCATGTGAATGCTAATCATGGTTGGTTGGTTTTTCAATATTTTTCAATAATATTTACAGTGTTGGTTGAAGTGAAAGTTTAGTCAATACGAGATGTTATGAAGTTTAAAGGTTTAACTGTTTACTTTTGTCTGAAGAGTTGAACTATTGTTTCATTTTTCATTTTATTTGCTTTATTTTGCTTTTTCTGGTAATTTTATCTGGTTTCTCTGGTTTTGTCTCTGGTAATGGGATTGAACCGTTTGCTTGCCATTTGAATACGATTATCATTTGATTAGCATTTATTTCCAAATTAAACCTTTCCGTGTCTCAAATTGGCAATTTAACATTGAACTTGATATTGATTTCATTTTTAATTTGGATCAATATGTTTAATCGTTTAGATATAAAAATTAAAGGTTCAAGGGATTTGACTATGAAAAAGTTGAGCTACAGATGAAATGAACAAGAAGAATGAATTTTGAAAAAAACGATTCATTCATTTATTGATATGCAAGATAGATCAATAGCGTGAATTTATTTCTGATTAGGCTAATTTGAAAGTGAAGCCTTCACTGTATAATAGATTAAGTATTTAAAAAATTTATAAAAATTCAATCATCTAAACTAATTTGGTTACAGATTACACACATAACAGTATCAATTTAAATTCATTATTTTTTGTCACTTCATCAAGTTAACATTCCCTTCCTAATTACATGGTTCGTCTGGGCATCCCTCAGTTAAAATTTGATACATTTTTGTGTGCTCACTTTAGAGAATCTTCTCAATTGTTTTGTTTGGATGAAATGGATCAATGTAAAGTGGGTGATTGGGTTCTTCTCCGTGAATTACCAGAAAAAATAAGTACTAAAATTGATTTCAAGATTGAACAAGTATTATATCAAAATGGACACATTATTTGCCCCTTAACTGGTAAAAGGAGTTTCCAATATTTTTATTAGTATCCAATCAAGTTAACATGATGATTTGCTGAAAGATTCTGATAGTGATAGAGAAGTTAAAGCTGAGAAAAAAAATCTAATTCTCATCGATAGTTACACTCTTCACAATCGATTGACCTGAGAAGGTTATGAGGTACTTTGCTTGTAATGTTACCTGTCATTTATTGTATAATTAGGAAGTGAATGTTAACTTGATGAAGTAACGAAAAATAATGAATTTAAATTGATCCTGTTATGTGTGTAACCAAATTAGTTTAAATAATTGTTCGTTTTTATAAATTTTGTAGCACGCGTTTCATTCGGCGGTTTTGCATAGTCGCCTTGTAACAATGAATAAAAGTAACAGTAAGATCGAACTTTATTTTGCTCGGTTTTCTTTAAACTCTGATTAAGCTGTTTGTGGGGGTGACTTTTGCTGGGAAACTAATAATGTTAAGGTTCATAAAATACTGAACATACACAAAGAGCACTAAATTGGGGGCTACTATCCATACATAACACTATACAACACATGTTGAATGCGCACTATACATTTAATCGATAATATAATTCGATAATATTTATCTTATAAATAGAGTTTTCATGATGAGAATATTCAATGTTGGAAATTAGTGTCAATGGGTGAATATTGATTTATTAATTAATTTGATTCTCACACATTTTCCCGGTTTGGGCTCAAAACCGAAAAGGACAAAATAGCAAAAGCAAAATAGAGAAAATCAAATCAAATCAAGCAAATCCACGAAAAATATCGATGCTTATTTTGTTGTATAAAATCGAAAAATTTCATTTGTCTTTTTTTGATCAGTTCTTAATTAGCCATGATTGAGGAAACAATTTGATTGGTATGGATTTGAATGAAAGAATCAAAAAAGTTGCAAACTAAATGAATTAATTGAGCCAATTCAGTTTATGAAAATCGAAGCATTATGTTTAATTTTCAGGAAAAAACTTCAATCAGTGTCTTTATTTAGCGCCTTATTTTTACCCTTCGCTATTTTGCCTTTCTCTGTTTAGACCTTCTAAGTTTTGGCTTTCGCTACCCTGCTTTCGCTGTTTTGAACCTTTACCATTTTCCCCTTAAACATGATAGCGATTAAAACCTAGTTAATCTCTTGAACAGCTTTTCTTTGTTTTCACTTACTGAAATGGACTGACACCCATTTAGATGCTAATATACAAATTGTCCCGGCAAACTTTTTCTTTACAAAAGTTTTATATTGTGATAATGCCGAGTTCGGTTTGATCTTCGCATTTTAATGTCAAGAATTAGAATGATAGATTGATATTTGTACTTAATCAATGTGGTTTGGTTAAGTATAAATATCAATTAGGTTACAGTTACTCAATTATTATGTCACCTTATTTCCTGCCTATTACTTCTTCCTTTTATACTCATCTTCATGCGATCTCTACAATTCCTCTTTCTTAAATACAATTGTTGCTTGTGATAACATCTATGAGTATGTTTACATGGAAAGTTTCAGGGAAAATGTAGCTCTCTATCTTTGGATAGATTGACCACTTGAGTAAACAAATTTTTGTTTGGTTCGCCACATCTTCCTCAGCCACTTGAATCGAAGCCTCTTTTGTATTTAAGAACATTTCAACTTGCTGTCTCTTACAGTTAACATCTCTTTATTTATCATTCAACTCTACTTTGTTCTATTTCAATTTGTGAAAAATTTCTAAGCGGCGAGCTCCGGATGTATCATCTATCTGGATGCTCCTCATCAGCGAGACTATTTCAGTCACCCGCTGCAAATAACGATCAGGTCGATAAGTTTCTTCACCACGGGTACACGCCTTACAAGGGTAAGAAGTTCCTTGCCTACGTTACAAAATGGTAACCAAATTTGCCGTTGGCGGAACATGTGCAAACCGACAAAGAGATTCCATTTGGTTTAAAGCCCGAGGACCACCTGTTACCCAAATTGTGGGATGCAGATGAGGTCCCGATCGAGGAATCAAAGTTTGCTTGTCATTGGTGTTACCGTAGTACCGTATTGTCCTGAAGAAAATCATAACTTCGACACGATAAAGAATGCGAAGCTGTTGGTGCTCCGGGACATGACAGTGAGAGACTCAAGTGTCCTCCAGGATCCGATCATAGACCAGCAGCTGAATGGAACGGAAACCCGAGATGGTCGTTAGGTAATCCAAGGGCTGGTTGAGGATTATGATTGGTATACATTAATGTATTGATTTTTTTGTGTTTTTAGATATTTTTTTGAAAAGAATCACATTTTTCACTAATATTTATATTTTTTCATTTCTTTGATTATTATTGAATCTAAACGTTTATTCGACCAATCAAAAACTATTTAAGATAGAAATATCAACAGAAAATCAACCGTATTAAATACTTGTTGAATGGCCATGTTCGGTAAAGTCTCAATCGAATAAAACATTTCATCTCGAGCTTTGATCTTCTCATTTCTTTCAATGTAATCGTTGTGTTGATAATCATTTATTTGCTTCACGATATTGTTGTCTTAAGTAATCATGGTAATATTTCAATTTTTATAGACAAAACTCCAATAACAATGTTTCTTATTTGTATTCTTCAAATTATACATATAATTATAATTAAATTTCATTTGGTACGCTAAGAATTAATCAACTCCATAGTCAACTCAAAAAAGGTTTTTTCAACTAATGACCATGTGTTTGTAATGAAATGAATGTTTTGAACTTTTTTTTAGTTAAAACGCTTAACCTTAAGAAATTATGTCTTTAGAGCTTTAAAAGATTGCCGAGTTTGGAACGAATTTTGTTAATGACAATAACTTAGCAAAAGTTGTCTAATATTTTTTATGGTAAATTTTAGCTTTGAATATTTCAACAATATCTTTGCAATTATTAGTAAAATATTGTTTATTAATTCAAAGCAAATTTCACTCAAAAAAGTCAAAGTCATATATCACTAATATATAACAAATATACAATGTATATATACAAAGCGATATATTACCAATATAATCTTCATATCATTATCGCGTTTGATACAGACAAGGATATAGTATGGGAACTAGTCAGGGTAAGCGTCTATATTGGGTATGTTGAAAATTGTTAACCACCAAAACATCCTGATGATCCTCGTTTATTCTGGATGCTTGGTAAGTTTAATCATTAATTAAAACAATTTATATAAAGTTATCTATTCATTTTTTCTAAGATCTAAGCGGTTATTCCAAGGGGAGAAAACTTCTCACTGTGGTAATGGTGATACTGTTTTTATTGCTAGTTTGGTATTTCTGTTCGTACTGATGATTATGCTCCCATTGTTTTGCTTCTTGAAGTGTTTGACCTCAGAAGCTGAATTTAAAGTTAAAGAGACTCAAAATGTTTTCAACTTTATTATCATTGAATATTTATTTCAAGGATCTACATATCTATGTATTTTTTTATCCATTTAAACTATTTTTTTTAATTGGCAACATCAAAAATAAAAAATTTAATAACTTTGCCACATTTAGTTTGTATGATATTTATACAGTATGGGTTAGGGCTAAGTCGACAAAATAAGGTCAGACTTAAGTAGAGTAGTTGCGAGAATATCAATTTCTCGATATATTACCGCTTAATGTGCTTCACAAATAGCCAACTTGTAGCTGTAATGTAGCTTCGAAAAGCTCAATGTTAATTACTTCATTTTTCCTCTCAATACTTTCTCCTTAACTTACACACAACCAGTTTTTGCTTCAATAACCTAAAGGTCATCTTATAAATGTCTTTGAGATAAAGATGACAATTGCAAAACTAAATTTTAATCTTCTCTTAAAAAGAGAGCTAACCTTAACCTAACAACAGTTGTGATGTAGACCCAGAAGAGTAACCTTTCTTTATGTTCAATAAATTTGCTGCTTCAAACCAACAATTTACAGAAATACCACATATAAAATGATTTTGTGTGACCCTATGATTGCTATTCATGTCAGCCCTAGAACTATCGAAAAAAATGTGGACAAAAATTTAAAAATTAAGTATATAAGACACCTGAACTTCATGAATGCACTTGCGTTAAAACAGCATTAGAAAGCTGTTCAAATTCTTGATTGCAAGAATAGACTTAAGATTGTAAAGAATATAATTTTTTGTCAAAAAATATGAAATAAATGTGTCCAAAAATCAACATTAATCGAGGAAAACTGAAGAGTGGATATTTTCTAATATTCATTCAATCATAATTAGCGTGATACACTTATGCAACACATTTGAATCATGCTGAGTCATTTAACAAATTATCTGAATAATTTTGTACCTCTAATAAATAACTGTCATTCAAAACCATTATTCGTATGCTTAAATGGTGTTTGATCTTTTGTTTGTGTTCGTAAACTCACAAGTTAAGCTTGGGTGGCTTTTGATTAGCATAAGATTTTAACTAACAATTAGTAACTATCATCACATGTTGGGAAGTTGATAAGGGCTTATGGAATGCAGAGCTGAATTGAGAAATTCAATGGAATTTAAAAGTGAAACATTCAATTGATAATATTTTACTGATAATGTTTATCTTATGCATAGAGTTTTCCCGGAAAATATTCAATGTTAGTATCATAATGGATAGATTTTAATGAAAGGCAATATAAAGCGACAATGATTGGAACATTTATCTGGTTTTAACACATTGTCACCTTAAACATGATAAGGAATAAAACTTACAAATTGTTTTTTGTAATTTTTGTCTTTCAACACCTCTGCATGCACTTACTGGGATGGCTTGACACCCCAATCAACAATGATAAATAGATTGTTCTGAAAAAATTTCTCTTTACACAGCTCTTCAGATCAATCTTTTCAATTGACTGTTCAATCCTCTTTTCTTTACCTAAATCGCAACCATCCACAATGAAACTAAAGATTAAAATCAATCTCAACTTTTTTGTTTTTCTTTGTTTTCTTTACTTAATTGACTCAATTCATTGTGCTGATTTTAAATGCCCTGAAAGAGGTGAAGTCGGTGGATTAAAAGTTCCAAATGTTCTCAGTTTGATTGATAAACAAACAGGTTATCATGCTTCAGTTGAAATTACTAATCCACTCTATTATAACGCTATGGCCGATGATTATTATGATGGGGAAAACGATGTTGGGTTCGTTGACTACAAAGCAAAGATTCAAGATAAAGTGAATCGACGTTATTATTATCACGCAACAGAGGAAAAGATTGCAGTTCAAGGAAATACATGTGAAAGGTTGGACTTAACTAAGGACGAGAAAATCAAATCGATCAAAGAGTGGTTTGAACCAAAATTCATTGTCGACTATTCAGATATATTTCAAGATTTGTCTCATTTAGGACCAACAGTGTTGATGATTTATGCCAACAACATTAGTGACAAAGCTTCATTCGTAGGATCCGAACTGGTTGATGGTCGTACTGTTAATCACTGGTTTTATTGTACCAATCCTAATGGACCTTACATTGACTTTTACTTTGATGTTAAGACCTCATTGCCTCATCGGTTCTCACTGTATTATCCTGAATGGATTGTAGCTCGAGAAGGCATGCAGCAAGCGGATAAAGATTCAAAATATGTTTACAATTTTTTAATGTTCAAACCGCTGGTCATATCAGCGACTGATCCAGTTCCTTATCCATTGGGTTATGGATGTGCTCGCAAAGGCACTCGTCCATCTACTCCATTACCAGATTTCGGTCAATTTAGAGAGTTTACTATGGATATGGAAGCAGTAATCACATATTCCAATGTTGATCCTATCAAGTCAACTGCTCGAGTAATGAAACGAGGCGATGTTATTTCATACGAAATTAAAGAAGGAACTGATTTCGTGCATTCCATTGAAATGTCTCCTCCTTTAGGGCGATTCCAAGTAGATAGACGCACTGGTCGATGTCATTATTATACATCAGATTATTCTGATGATGTTACACTCATCACTCGTTGGCCTTTTCATCAAGATCGTGGCTTCAATCTATTGTATTATCTGGTAATGAAACCAACTCAAGATTATGCACCGACTTTTATTGCTGAAATACCTTTAGGATCTCTTCGAGTGGAGGAATACAGAGCAGCTAACTTCTTCTCGAATAGAGTCGATGCCATTGTTGACTATTATTATACAAAGAATGTCAGTTTTTATGTTCCAAGTAAAGTCATATTTACCGCAGATCGAAGGGATGATATTGGTTCTGATATTCCAACACAAGTTGAAGTAACTATAATTAATTACCAAGAAAGGAACATTGATTATAAAGATCAATTCGATGTTTCTGGTTGTTATGAAGAACCTGGAAACTATACTTGGTTTCAACTTCTCTTTTCAGATCCTACGGTGAGTGAAAAATATATGCCGATGGTAAAGGAATCGGCAGAAGAAGCCTTGATTTCATTCATTCCAATAACTCGAATTGGTGAGATTCATGCAAAAAAAATTGATTCTAATACATATGTAACTGTTAAGCTTTATGATCGAGTACATTTCATTGATGCTTATCGTAGTTGGAATCAATATAAAATTATTAATCCTTCAAATGTTGTAAAAAGATTCAAAGTCGAAGACTGTGAACAACTGTGCACAGCAAATGCCGACTGTCATGATTTTAGTTATTGTGACGATTATGATTGTTCAATTTCTACTCGTGATTATTATTATGTCGAGAGAGAGTACAAACAAGGTTGCACATATTATTCTAGATCTGAAACGGAGGTAACTCCACTCGTTAATAAAAATTATCTTTCAACCACGTCTCACATATTACAACAAATAAGTGATAAAGTCGCAGCAGGCGAATTTCGTTTAATTGGTTCCGGCATCACAGCTGAAGATTTGTTCATTGTGAATGGACCTGAAGAGATTGGTGACATTTCACAGGAACTGTATAGACGTGGTTCCAGACCCTTAAGAGGTGAAGATTTTCCGATGTTCCAAACTGATCGCCATTTCAAGGAAGCACAATTTACGATCCAGAAAAGTACTCTTCAAAATTGTTTCCAGGCTTGTTTAAATGATGATGATTGTAATACACTTTCATATTGTGTTGACCAGAATAAGGAATGCATTCTGAGTGGAGAAACATCGAGTTCATTGAAAGATTCCCTTGATGACAAAACAAGCCATGCAGATGGATGCAACATCTATCAAAGTAAATTTATTTTCACATTAATTTGTATTTCTTTAATTAATTTTGTTTCATTTTCAATTTAGAATCATTTATAAATCTATTCCATGAGTATCCTGGAAAAAGTCTAGTTTTGGATGCTGTCTCAACCATATCTGATGTACCAATTGGTGATTGTGCTAAAAGATGCGCTCAATCAAGTGACTTCAATTGTGAATCATTTGATTATTGCCAAGATAATTATCAAAGGTAAGTCGAAACTCAGATTAACCTTATCATGATATTTTTAATGTCTAATGTGAATAATGAACTTGAATGAAAATCATTTATCTCTTATAACAAATAATCAAATCAATAAGATATACCAATCACAATCATTACAAACATTAGATTCTAGTTTTTTTAACAACATATCTATGAATAGATCTAATGAACTTTCATTTTATTTTTCCTCCCGATTCCTCCCAGAAATGAATCTGTTTGCTTCTTACATATCTACCACATTGCGTTAGATAAAACTCATCAAATAAATGCGACAAACTGGAAGGTGGCTGAAGCTGGATGTTCCCATTACTCAAGTAAACACCTTTACTTTAACCCAACATTTGAAATCTGGTTAATATGTACTAATCATTCAATATTTTATTTTAACAGAAAAATCTGAACTTGATTATGAGCATAAAGTTGGACTTGCACTGAAGGATAATGTGAAAGAGTCAATTGTTGGGACCTTTGACCATTTATCACTAGAAGACTGTGCTTCCAAATGCAATTCAGATCCTAATTGTTTTACTCTCGAGTTTTGTGAAACAATTGATTATAATCAAGTTTCCGATAGAAGTGTTTCATTAACGAGTTGTTCATTGACAAACTTGAAACCAAAAAATGTTAATCAACCTGGACTATTTGAAGGGCCAAAAAGCACCAACAAAATTTGCTCAATTTACGTAAATCACAAGAAGATTACAGGAAAAAGTAAAGTTGATCCACAGCCATCTGAATTAATAATATCAACACCAAAGAAATCAAGCGATTCTAATTTAGCAACCGGATTGGGGGCAGTCGTATTCATATTGGCTTTTGCTGGTGGATTCATTGGATTTAAATTTGCTGCTAAAAAAGGAATCATTTCATAGATGCCAAAAATGAACATTATCAGAGGAAAACTGAAAATGAATCTTTACGATTAATTCAATCATAATCAATATGATACACTTATGTAATATATTATGTAGTTTATTTTGTATTATTACACGTGTAATATGATCTTTACTGATATACACTTGTTCTACATATGTTTGGAAAAATTCTCATGACTTTCAATCCAAATTATTCACTAAATTATCTTGATTATTTGATTTATCAGAAAATTATGATTTTTCATTTTGCAAGTAAACTTGTAATTTGCGCGCTCCTTCAAAGTTTGTTGTTGCCATAGCATCTGTTCATCCCACAATCACACATGATTTGAAGCATTTTTTATTAGTTTTATTCACATTGTTATTGAGTAAATTTATTGTGTTATTGTTTATTATCAAAATGTCCATGTTAATGGGAAAGGTGTGTGAAAATGTGGCCAAAAATGTTGTTCGTTTGGCCATCCCTCAGTTGAAATTTGATACATTTTTATGTATGCACTTTCGAGAGTCTAGTGAATTGTATGCTCTCGACTCTGTGGATCAATGTAAAGTTGGAGATTGGGTTATTATTCGTAAATTACCAGAAAAGATTAGTACCAAAATTGAATTTAAGATCGACCAAGTCGTGTACAAGAACGGACACATTGTTTGCCCCTTAACTGGTAAAAGGAGTTTCCAATACCATTATGGATAAAGTACGGAAAATCAGTTTTTGTTTCATCTTAATCAAACGAGTTGATTTACTAATGGACATCCATACCATTAACCACCGAATTGGACAGCAATCAGTCATTCAACAATCAATGGATAAGTGACAAATAATTAATGTAAATTTGTGTCTCACTAATTAGATTAAGTGTAATTTAAATGAAATCTATTTAGAATAATGTAATCAAAGCCATTGGTAAAAGCAAATTAAATTTAATGCTGACAAGTCAAATGGAGGCGGCCACTTTTTGTTGTTACTTTGTTGTGCACAAATGTAGATGAATAAGGTCATTGATGAAAAAAGGTCCTTTTTTTATTTGAATTTGTCTCATTTTCATCTTAAAAATCAACTTGAATATCCTGATGAGTACAAAAAGAAACCAACAACAACAAGCTCAACAATAAAGCGTACAGTTTCAATGCACACTCAGTAAACATGAAAAGCCTTACCAAACAGAAGCCTCTTGTACATAAAGGTCTGTACCTGAAATTTACAGAAGATGAAGCTGATGAGAATGATAAGAATGGTAAAAGAAGAGCTTAAATTGAATTGCTTCCACCGTCGGTCAACCAATTAAAATCAGGTCGATACGGTAATAACTTTTAATTGAACAACATTGAGCACAGTAATAAAAGTAATTAAGACAAAACTGTGTATACTTACATTGAGCTTATCAGAAAGTTAATCAGTACATAAAAGTGTAGCATAATTATGATATAAACAGTGTACTTGTTTTAATTTTTACCTGTTGGCTTCTTTTACCATCAAACAATAAATTACCTTAAAATGCAAATTATATAAAGAAAAGGTTAACTAAATGGGCAAAAATCGTCAAAATAATGTAAAAGGTTTAACCCAATATTGTCAATGTTGACAAAACCCAAATAGCTTCAATATTAAACTGAGCAACAAACAAATTAGCGAAAGAATTGAAAATCAAAAATTGTCAATTTACAATATTGTAATAGCTTAGGTCAAAGGTGTAAAGGTGACAATGGGTTAATGGTAAACATTGAAATTACTTTAGATATTTGATGAAGTGAAATGAAATGTAAATTGGTTTACAAAAGGCCGGGAAATTAGAGACAAATGAAAAGCTATTGACAAATGGATTGAAGTTGACTGTAAGGTGAATTGAAAATAAAATGAAATCACAATTAATGGGATTGAACAGAAAATAAGTGATTAAATTTAAATAATATTGTTTGGGTTTTAAGGTCAAAATGAAGGTGAATGGGTGGCTAGATGAGGTGATAATTGTTTGGGTTTGTTGTGCTTTAATGATGATCAATCAGCTTGTTAAATTGGTGACAATTTTCACCATTAAAAAGATTTTCTTTCTCTGATCGAGTTAAATTGGTAGATTAAACAATCAACGAGAGAGATTCAATTGATACTTATATTAATCAAGTTAACATGATAATTTGCTGAAAGGTTCAGACAGAATGGTCATGGAAGGTTGACCAACAAAAAAAGGTTTGGGTTAAGGTCTAAGAGCAAGAAAGAGACTGAAAAAATAGACTTAAAGAGATTCTGATGTTGATGAAGAAGTTAAAGCTGAGAAAAAAAATCTAATTTCTCATCGATAATTACACTCTTCACAATCGATTGACCTGAGAAGGTTATGAGGTGCATTACTTGTCATTCGGTGTATAATTAGGAAGTGAATGTTGACTTGATGACAAAAAATAATGAATTTAAATTGATCCTGTTATGTGTGTAATCTGTAACCAAATTAGTTTAAATGCATGTTTAATTTACACATTTATTATGAAAATGTCAAATGAAAAATTCCTAAATTATCATGATACTTTGATTTAGAGTAAAAAATGATTTCATTCTGTCGTAAACTTTTAATCTCTTGCAAGTCCACAGATGGCGCCGAGCAATACTTTTGCTCTACATCAACACATGTGTTAAAGCATTCTTAATCTGCTTTTTGTTTTTTTCATTATTTGTGTTAATTTATTACTTACAAAATGTCTATGTTAATGGGAAAGGTCATTGAAAATGTGACCAAAAATGTTGTTCGGTTGGCCATTCCTCAGTTGAAATTTGATACATTTTTGTGTTCACACTTCAGAGAATCATCTCAGCTGTTTGGTTTGGACTCTATGGATCAATGTAAAGTGGGTGATTGGGTACTTCTCCGTAAATTACCGGAAAAAATAAGTACCAAAATTGATTTCAAGATTGAACAAGTATTATATCAAAATGGACACATTATTTGCCCCTTAACTGGTAAAAGGAGTTTCCAATATTTTTATTAGTATCCAATCAAGTTAACATGATGATTTGCTGAAAGATTCTGATAGTGATAGAGAAGTTAAAGCTGAGAAAAAAAATCTAATTCTCATCGATAGTTACACTCTTCACAATCGATTGACCTGAGAAGGTTATGAGGTGCATTACTTGTCATTTGTGTATAGTTAGGAAGTGAATGTTAGCTTGATGAAGAGACAAAAAATAATGAATTTAAATTGATCCGATGTGTGTAATCTGTAACCAAATTAGTTTAAATAAATGCATGTTTTTTATAATCTTGTTTCATGCTTAATTTATTAATTACTAATACTTGAAGGTGATTTTGTTCAATATAACAAACAAAAAACAAGTAAACAAAAATATGATGATGATGATGTGAAGATGTGATGTTTAGTTGCTGTTTTAAAAGGAACAGAAATGATAATGATGATGATGATGAGAAAAATGAGCGATCAAAAAATAAAATATTAGTTAGAACAAAACAGCTGATTCTGTTTTGGCCAAAAAAGTGTCGGTTAAGCTTGAACAAAAAAAGATTACAGAGTTTAAATTAATCTATCTTGATTCTCGGACCAGAAAATGTATCTTTGATCGTCAGAGTTACGAGTTTTAGGACTTTTTGCATTCTCTCGAACCAATTGAGAATGTTTCCGGTGAAGCTCATCTACAATTATTGACGATTGAAGCCAACTTGGATTAAATGATTTGTCGTTTTCCCCGCTTGTTTGGCCATTGTTCAACATTTGTTTGTGCTTATGTGCATGTTGATGAAGATGTTGATGATGAACATGATGATGTGATGAAGATGGTGTTGGTTGTGGCTGCGTTTGCCCTGATTGCTGTGAATTTGTCTGTTGACCATGATGTTGATGATGAATATGGTGATGATTATGATGGTGACGACCAGATGGTTGACCAGATGAAGAAGCAGCATTATTAACAGCTTCCGAATCAAATCCATTAGCTGGAGGTTCAACACAAGTACACTGGTTAAGATGATGATTATGATGATTATCAGGTGAATCAAGAATAATTCCTTTGGATCCAATCTCTCCATTACCATTGGCTCCATGGACTCGACTTTCTTCAATAATACTTGCATTCAATGAATCATCTTCATCACTGGGAAAATTATTGGTGACAGCAGCAGCAGGAACATGTGACCGAGGAAAAGCCTGAATCGAAGAAGCAGCTCCAAACGGTAATTTACCTCGTGGGCAAGGATGAAAATATCCTCTTGGACATGTTTCAGTTCCACGACCATGCCAAGCACTTGCAGATGAACCAGGAGCTGGACAACAACAACAAGATGGACCAAAAATGGGTCTTGAAGCTTTGATAGGTGGATAGGAAAGGTTAGAATCTTGTTCACCAAGAGCTCGATGTGAGAAAAAATTTGCTTCAACTCCTCCTTGACCTGTTCTAGTGGCTCCGCTTGTAATTCCAGTGTCTGGCAATCCACTACGTAACCTACCACGAGCATGTGAATTCTGGTAGCGATAGTTAAGCATGGCTAGTTTTTCAGCCTTTTTCCAGGCTTTGTATTCATCGCACATATCACGACATCGAATGGAAAAGGCGACAATAATTAAACATAGGATTGATAAGGCACAGCAACTTCCAATTAGTATGTAAGCCAAACGCTCAGTTGTTAATCTGTACGCTTCTCCATTGACAAAGGCTTCATCAGGTCCATTCTGGTCTGGTAAACTTGTTCCTGTGCCGTTAATATCTACACCATGACCTTCATAATCATAATCATATCTATCTTGGTTGTTACCGTGTGGTCTGTTGCTATTAATGTTGTTGTTATTCAAATCATTATAATCGATTCCATCAGAAACTTTCTTAATAACAGTACCGGATCCTCCAACAGCTAATAGTGTGACATTATTTTTGTGAGTTGTTGGCGGCGTTGTTGAGGTTGTGGTTGTGGTTGTGGTTGAGGTTGGTGGTTTACCACGATTTGGAATCGATGATGATCCCGTTTCGTCATTACGTGAAATATAATTGATACCGAAATGACCACCCTCTTTGTCACTGAAAACACGAAAGCCATCATTGTTATTAAAATTATGATTATTAGCATTATTGTTGTTGGTGTTAGCATTTCCACCTCTATGATACGTAAATGTTTTGTGTCTACTATCAATAGGGGAAGATGGTGATCGAGTTAAATTTTTATAAGATGGTTCATTGTAATTGCTTGGTTTAAGAGGTATTCTTGGTGGTAAGCCGAAAGTCTCTCC